CACGAGTGGCGAGGGGCGGAGCAGAAACTGGACCGGTACTTGTGGGCGTGAGGATGTCGGAGTCCGGGAACTCGTCAAAGTTGGACGTGTCGTCGATGCTTTTGATGTTGATGGGGATGGCGGCGGGTCGCTCTCTGTATGAAAACATCAGGGGTTAAAGACTAAATCCACCTGAGAACCAGAACCAGAACCCTGGTAGCGGACACCCACCTGATGTGGTCGTAGTCCACGCCCTCGAAGAACGGGTTGGATTTGATCTCCTCCACGCTGGTGGCGCCGATGCGATGCTCCTCCTCGCAGCAGAACCTGCGCACAGAGCCGTCTGATCAAAGCGCTGCAGGAAGTTAAACATTTAAACTCCTGGTTAAAGGTTGACGGTTCGAAACCAGCTCCTGCCTGAGGATGAGGTCTTTGGCCTTCTCTGAGATGGGAACCTCAGGAGGAAACGTCAGCGTCTCCCTCCAGTTCATCACCTTCCTGTAGGTCTCCTGAGGCGTCTCCGAGCAGAACGGAGGGTAACCTGCAGACAGCCAGGACCACACTAAACACGTGTCCAACTCAAGGTCTGCGGGCCACATGTGGCCCAACACTGCATTTTATATGGCCCACCAAAGTTTCAAAGATATATTACTGTCTTAAAATGAACTGCGTTAAAGCTGCCATGATGATGCTGATTACTTTACTAAACAATGACACCACTAGGTGGAGCTGCACACTGCAAAAACTGTCCACCTAACCAAGTTTAACATCTTATATCCAGACAAAGAATGTTTTTTTTACTTGTTTTAAAACTGATTTACTAAACAAGAATTGATGTGTTTGATTATTTATCCTGTTAGAGACGTTTGAGCAAATAAAGTTAAAAAAAAAAATCAGCTGATGGAATAATGCTGCGTTCACACCGAACATGATTTCAGCGTTAAAATCACGTTCACCACTTCATGTTGGACGGTTGWGCACTTTGAGAGYCTCCTCTGTCAGTCTCTGTTTAATGGTGGATGAAATTAAGGAAGTGGCTTTGCTTTATTTACTGAGAGCACGAGAACGTCGCGCTCACCAGATAATTAATTCAWATTAATTCACCAGATAATTCAGAGACGTTCTGAGTTTCATCACCCAGGAGCTGTGAGCTGACTCAAGGCTGGCTTTTACTATTTTTGTCCCGAGTTCAGTTTGATGAGCCACTGAACTGCATCGGTGCTGATATCTCCTGTCAGGACACCGACTRCAGGCACTGGATTTCAGCTAAAGATCTCCTGTCCGTYTGTCTCAGGTTAGTGGACATCATTCAGGAAACTGTCCCGTCATACGTCACACAGTGGAGTCTCTCTGGTTGACGCGGCGTCGAGCTGCAAAACTTCAAATTTTCTAACGCAGCGTTCAACGCCGTTGACTTTTCTATGTAAACTGGATGCATCCTGTTATATTGCCTTTTTGTGAATAACACTGTAAAGCACAGATAAATCCTGTTATAKTGAAGTATTATCTGTATCTTTCTGTATATTGTGTACTGTGTGTAAATAATATGTAAAGTATCTGTACATTGTTAATACTAAAGAGACACAAACAGCCAGAAACAAATTCCTTGTGTGTGTCGACATACTTGGCCAACAAACATGATTCTGATGTTCCTGACGCTGAGATCATGTTCGGTGTGAACGCAGCATAAAACAATTGCATTTGATTCTTGGAATCACTTAATTTGACTCAAAATTACTTTCTCTAAGAATATTACCAAGTAAAATTGTCTTATCCCATCTGCAGGTTTTTTTTTCTTTATTTAATTTGGCTCAAATTTCCAGGCTAACAGGATAATTAATCTGTTCTTGTTTAGTAAATCAGACTCAAAACAAGTTTAAAAACATTATTTTTGGCTGGATATAAGATTTTAAAACTAGATGGACAGTTTTTGCAGCGCAGGGTTCAAAATTTATTGTGTAAAATCTCCATTTAGTTGCAGCCCAGTTGCACTGGGAAGTGGGAATTTCCCACTAACAAGTCTTAAATTTAAACTGGAATTACAGTGTCAGYTCCTCATTGAGTCAAACTCTTACTTTTAAAAGTATTTCTGTTTTATTACTTTCACATTTAGTCACCTGTCATTATTGCAAGAGGACGCGTTAAAGTGCTGTTTCTGTGCAGGAAATACCAGGTAGAGCCCAGTGAGTGTTTGTTAGTGGGGCTCAGGAAGGTGATGAGTCCAGTTACCTATCAGCATCTCGTACATGATGACCCCGAGGCTCCACCAGTCGCACAGCTTGTTGTATCCGTTCTGCATGAAGACCTCCGGGGCGATGTAGTCCGGGGTCCCCACCGTGGAGAAAGCCTGGAGACACGGGGGAGGATGAGGATGATGAGGGAGAACTTGGGTTTTAAAGGGATCCCTGATTAGTTGTAACATTAGACTTTATTTGATAAACATATATTTTAACTGTAAAATAAAGACTGTAAAAATACTGTAGCCTGTTTAGTTTTGTACATTTTTTAAATATATTTTAACACGGACGGAGCCATTTTATTTACATGCAAAGCATTCTGGGTAAATGATGACG